AAACGGTATAAAAATTATTGCAACTTACATAGTACATACAGACAATAGAGATGTCCGAAAAAAAGAAATTTTCATATTGATCGACGAAAATCACCAATACTTTTGGTAAGTGGGTGTACAATCTTTTGTCGACATTTGGTTATTTCCTTACATCCAGTAGTAGTATTATACCAACGATCGGGTATTAATTCAGGTTTCTTACAAACTTCTTCGAATGAAATTTGATTTTCCCTAATGTATTTTATCTTTTCAATATCTTCATAATATTATTTAGAAATTTGATAATCGTATTGTTCCTTTGGTGTTTCATCCATTACTCGTCGATGTTTTCGTGGAATTCCAAATTCGAATGGACATGTATCACTTAAATCTGTTGTATCCCAGCGTACAAGGGTTCGATATTGTTCACATTCTGGTGAACATAGACTACAATATTTAGATAAATCGAAATAATCACATTTACATGGTTTGCCATGGTTCGGATCATTATGTAATTTACATCGATTGTATATTTTCGCGCAATAATAGTAACATTCGTTAAAATTTCCATATACAATATCAAAATGGAGTGTATCATCACCGAATATTCGATGTAACTGTTTAAATGATGGTCGATTAGGTTCACGGATTTGACAATACACCTGAGAATGAAAATATCCATCTTCAGTTCTTTCATCTTGATGTATAATATAAGAAATTTTTTCTTTTATCTCTTCATATTCTTCTTGTGTTCTTGGCATAGTTCTTTTACATTCAATTCCATTATCCTTACATTGTTGACATTCTAGATCTGTACAACATCTATATCGTTCGCAACATTTCGTACACGAAGCATTATCTTTACATTTTTTATGTTTCAAGTTACATTCAGAACAATCTTCCGCTTCTTTTTCAAGTTTATGACCACATTTAAATTGTACTCTACAATAGCGGCACGCACGCGCCGTTATCATAATATATTGAATCCGTTCACGCTTTTTAAAATCTTTTGATTTTGAATTTGAAGCTTTCTTAGATTCAGAAGCTTCGTTTTGAATAAATTTCGACTTTTTAGACTTGCTAGATTCTGTTGATTGAGATTTTTGTTTCATTTTTTGATTAATAGAAAAAGGAGACAAGCTTTTTTTATATAATAATAAAAACCGGTAAATTTCCGAAAATGTGGCTTCATGGACATTTTCTGCGCCCTTCATGGACATTTTTCGGAATGGACAGCAAGCCACAATATTTCCTTTTTTAGTAACGAAATGCATTGTTCTTTTTTGTACGCCGCAGCGGGGGGTAATAGTGGGACTATAGTTTTACTATAGCCCCTCCCCCCGCTGATCCAGAAGAAAAGCTGTTAAAAGTCTTTTTTAATGGGAATTAGGAAATTCTATAAATTTTTATTGGATGACTATGTGGCTTGTTTTTATGAAACAAATTAGTGGCTTGGGTTGTTTCATTTAGTGATACATATTGTTTCCTTTTTAAAAATATCGTGTTACTTTATTATTTATAAATGTAACATGGATTCGTCAATGTTATTCATTAAAATGAAAAATAAAAAATCGAAATTGACTCAAACTATTATAAAACAAAAATAAGTCAAAATATAATGATAAAATTCATAAAAAGATAAAACGAGATAAAAGTTCTAACGCTTTCGGGAACCTTCCAATGGAAATAATTGACCAAATCTTCTTACAAATTTTAAATCATCAATGTAAACAAGGACATAAATGGTGTTTCAATGAATATGATAAACACCGATATAATAGAAACAGAATATCTTTTTTAACTAATGTCTGTCGAACATGGACACGTTATGTTTATCCATATATTTGGAAAAGAATCGAACTCGATAGAAAATTTTCGCTAAAAGAACAAAAAAGAACGGTTAAATTACTCGAACTGTTAAATGATGATGATCTCATTGCACGGAATTATATCAATGAAATATTTATCAATAATAACTTTCTAACTAACGATACATTATTAAAAATATCCTAATATCAATATTAACATTAATTCTGGATTAAATATTAACAAATTTAATTACTATAACAAAAGTTTAATAATCAAATTTTACAATAATTTAAATGACAGTTTATGTATCAGTTGTAAAAAAGAATCTGTGTATTGGAGTTCGACAGAATATCTATGTTTTTGTTTAAATTGTTTGTATTATAAATATAATATCACCTTACAAAAACCATATATGAAAATTATCGAAAAATTAACATTCTTAGAAAACTATATTAACTTGTAAACACATTGTTCCGTTTTGTTTCAGATAACTAAAATCATGTGTAGTATTTCTTGGTAGAAATACTAATGTTAATACTGGTATTTCTTTCAGAAATACTAACGCAATATATCGCTTGTTATCATTTTGAAAATCATTGAGCGTTGTATTATTTTCAATGTGTGTATTATGTTTATTGGTTAGGGTAAATGAATCGCAATATCGTTTTGTTGTTTGTATTAACCAATTGAATCAATCAGCTTTCGTAGTTAGTTTTTGAGAATTTGTATTGTCTTGCATTGTTTTCAATGTATTAGGAAAAAACCAGATTATAGAATGAAGATAATAATTATGGGTAACGGATACGAGATTGTATTACTAAAAAGCTCTTGGATAGAGGCGGATGATCAAAAAATAATGAACGATAAACAAAAGCTCTTTCGTATGGGTCACGTTCGCTTTACAAAGAAATATTAAATGAAGTTTTAAGTTTAGAAAATAATACAGTCTTGCGAAAAATAGAAAAAGTAATAATTATTAGAATACAGATAGCTGGTAGGTGTGTTAATTTTTTGCTTCCTGTGATGTGTCATTAAATTGTCAACAGGAAAAATTGTAGAATTAACTGGGCTTGATATGCCGTCAGGGCGTTTTACCGGATATGAAAACTGTGCACTTTTTCAATTCCGCTCGATCCAGAATCAACATCTACGCAAACGCTAACAGAGTTTTTTGAGGGACTCTTTCGCTTACGGGTACGATTTATTATTTTTCTAAACTAAAGCTTATTACATATTTTATTTAGTATTCCGTACCAACCACTGATATTAACTTCTAAATAAACAATACAATACGAGTCCAAGGAAAAAAATCCTGCCGTTCCACTCACTTCTTTTACTTGCAAAAGAGACTGGGATGTTGACCACAAACGTAGTCATAGGAGAAGGTGAGGTTGTAGAAAGGGTTGAGCTAGACGTACTGCTTGGGCTTGGACTTGGACTTGGACTTGGAGTTAGAATTGGCGTCGAAACTGGAGGTGTGTTTTGAGCCACATCCAAGAGTACGACGCTAGCATAGATACCGTTCACTTGATCGTAATTGCTCACAAGAAGACACCAACTGCCTAACGGAGGTGTGGCGGGGATGCTTTTATCGCAGCGTTGTACACAGTTGTCGTAACTTACCAATTTAAAGAATAAAGATAATTGGTTAGTCAATGCATTTATGCAATGCAGTAACCGGAATGTGGAACATCGGAATATTCTTTCAAGAATATTGTTATTAACCGCATCCATGTACGAATTGCTGTATAACTCAAACCTCCTCGCCTCTCTTACTCACCATGACATATTTGGCAGAGTAACCGTATAGCTGGTTGCGCTAAGATAAATTTGAAGATCCGCCGAAGATAAAGCTTGCATAATCACTCCGTTTGTGCAAGTTCCAGACTTTGGTGCGCCAGCTTTGGATACAACAGAACCGAAATCTGTTGTCAGAATGAGAGCTTTGCTTGATGTTTCTACGATATAAGCTATATTTTAGTTAGCAAGGAAAATTTTATTGAGTAATAAATCGAACGGTTTAAAAAAGCACTATACTTACCAAAATAATTAGTCTGTGGAGTACATACCCACCTTTTGAAATTAATTGTAAAATACGTTACAAATATGTGATTACAATCTTTGAGGCCTGAACGACATTGTTTACTCAGCCTACAAGAAAAGATTATCTTACCATGAATGTGCAGGAGCTAAGTAAATGTTACCCGCCAATACATTATAGGCGGCATTTACTGTAACTATCTAAATGCAATAACGTTATTAACAATTGAGTGAGACAGAAAATCCAACTTAACTTACTTACCAAAGGTAGCAATGCGAATAAGACTTTGACTATATTTTGCATATTGTGAAAAAAATTTATCGCAAGAGAACCTGTTTGTCTTAAACAACCTATTTTTATACAGAACGCATTTAATTTACACCCTGGGAGTACGACAACAAATACACGCGTACACTCAGAGTTCATACTATTGGGTACGATATTCAGTGTTACAAACATAGCATATAGCACCTTATAATTTTAGTCGGACAATTTCTTCTCAAAAACAGAGTTTAATCCATGGTTCTCGAGAAATTCCAATTACCGTGATCCTACGATAATCGACGTATACGAAATTCACTGATCTTTGATTTGCACAAGACTGTACATAATAATTTCTAATAAAATTTAATAAGAATATGGATAGCAATTGCGGTTACCACCCATTTGAATTTCAAGTTTGTATCAGCCATGGTTCTCGAGGTACGAAAATTGTGGTTTATTCTGGAATGTTCGAAAATTGTACAACGGTGGAAGTATTAAAAATTCCTTTTCCGAAAAATCATGGAAAGATATGAAGCAGTCATATGAGCTAGTGATAGGTCTATTAAAATATGAGGTATGTATAAACATACATACATAGGGTCTGTTTGATGCCCGATCAAATTTGGAAGTCGTACAAAGTAGGGGCATCAGCTCTCAACAGCTTTCTAAATAGAGTAATACCATATTT